TTCTTCTCTGCCCCATCCTTCTTTTATCCCCTTTCATGGTCACATGACTTTTTCCATCAAATGCTTGATAGGCCCGTTCCCCCTCAGGTCTGCATGACAGAGGGTCTCTCTGTCCCTGCCAGGGACATACTTGCATTTGAAATGAGTAGCCTCTTGTGAAATCAGATTATCTCAAAGGAATGAGGTGTTAAGATGATAGTCTTTTGGGCTAATGGTTTAAGGACACAACTTAGATGGATCTCCACAGACAACTACCTCCTTCTCGATCTTCTTTAAAGTTTGCCATGGTTTCAGATGGAACAAAACTAAAATAATGACCATGACACATCCTGTTCATCTGCTTATCACCTTATCAGTCCGGGAGGCAGAGGTTATTTTCTGTGGCCCAGAAAGGTGAAGTGACTCGTCCACAGTTACACAGCGTGTCAGTGTCAGAGCCAAGAAGACTAGAAGACAGACCCAGGCTCTTTCCAAATCTCCATAGGTGCTTCTTGGGACAGGAGCACAGTGGGCAAATGATAGTACCAACACTTGATGGTGCTTTCATGGGCACAATTTTATGTGTGGTCTGTCACTCATTCATTCGACTAAGCATTACTGACATTGTGTCTGTGTCAGCCTTTTTGCTGGGGCTGGAGATGCTGGGATGACTCTAAGTCTCTGTTCTTGAAGAGCTCCCAGAGAAGAAAACCCACACAATGATGATACTTGTGGGAAGGGGACATGCAAAATGTTACAAAAGTCAGGAAGGGGCATCAATACACTTCTAGTATGATGGGCTCATGTGACATTTCGATTTGGGCCCTGAAGGATAAGAAGGGGTGTGTGTGTGTGTGTGTGTGTGTGTGTGTGTGTGTGTGTGTGTTATGGAGATGTAGGAGCTTATCTCCCTAACTCACAGGTGTATAATGAGTCCTGAGATTAAAATGTCTCAAACTCAAAAAATTCACACCCTTGCTTCTCTTTTGATAAACTTGAATTTTTCTTTGATCTTGGAAATTCAGATATATCATTCCAGGATAGAAGGTTTTGTCTAACTTTATGGTCTGTAATCTGTTTCAGACAAAAAGATTTTTTCCCCCTTTACCAAATCAAACATTATATTAAATATTCTTAAAAATTACATAGTCCCCCTAGGGGGTACCACCATCCTAGAAACTCCCACAATGCTCTACAGGTTCTAGGGCTCTGGAATCTATTTTTGACTCTCTTGTAATAAAAAGGGAAGGCAAGAATTGTCAGCAACTCCTCTTGGAGGAGCAAGCCTGTGTATCCTGATCCTGTTCTTGGAGCCACTGAGCCTTGTGAGCTCGCCAGTGCCGGGGTTTAGAGAGAGCCTTTCACCCTCAGAGACCCGAGACCCTCTGGCTCTTAGGGTTGCAGGCATGGGGACAGGTAAGGAAAGCTTCCAGTGCCTGGGCCAGTTGGCATCAGCTCACAGGCCCAACTCCTAAGCCTCTTAGCTATCTTGGAATGCTAAAATTAGAGAAACACAATAAGGTACCACTTTACACTTACTAGGATGGCTGTAGTAATAAGAAATATATAATAAGTGTTGGAAAGGATGTGGAGAAACCAGAACCCTTTTTCTTTGGCTGGTAGTAATGTAAAATGGTGCAGCTGCTGTGGAAAATGGTTTGGTAGTTCCTCAAAAAGTTAAACAATAGAACTGCCATATGACCCAGTAATACCTCTCCTAGATATAGTCCAAAAGAATTAAAAGCAAGGACTCAGACAGGTATTTATACACCAATGTTCATAGCAGCATTATGCATTCACATTAGTCAAAAGGTGGAAATAACCCAAGTGCATATCAACAGATGATGAATGGATAAACAAAATGCGGCATCTACATCTAATTGAATACTACCCAGCAACGAAGAGAATGAAATCCCGATACATGCTACAACATGGATGGATCTTGAAAACAATCTTTACTACGTGAAATAAGCCAGACGCAGGACAAATATTGTACGTTTCCACCCATATGAGCTACATGGAATAGGCAAATTCACAGAGATAGAAGGCAAAATAGAGGTCCCCAGAGGCTGGGAGGAGGAAGAAAAGGGGGAATTATTGTTCGGTAGTAGTTTAATGTTGGGGATGAAAACATTTTGAGTACAGATAGTGGTAATGGGTACACAGCATTGTGAATGTAATTAATGTCACTGGCTTGTAAACTAAAAATGGTTAAAATGGTAAGATTATGTTATGTGTATTTTATCATTATTGGAAAAAAAAAAAAAGCTGTTAACAAATTTGAGGACTCTCCCAGGCCAGAGGAGGTTTATAATACTGGACAGCATTCAGGCCTCAGGCACATAAAGTTCAACTAACTGTTCCGCCTGAGAGCAGCTCCACTTGGTGGAGCTGGGGGAAAGGAATCCCAGGGGACCTTGGATCTAATGGCTTTTGCCTTGGTTTCCACCCTTTGGGATTCCCAATTATCCCCTTGCCTCCTTGGCACCATGACATTTACTGCTTTCCACCTTGACTACTGTAGGAAGCATACATTTACTATACATACTTTATGTACTTAGGTCTCATTTAACCCTCACAATACCTTGTGGTTTAAGGATTATCAACCATTTTTGGGGGTAAGGAACCTGATATGCCAAAGGTCACCCAGTTAGTAAGTGGCTGAGTGCCTGTCACTACTAGTGAGTGCCAGTTGCCAGTCCCCAGTCTTCTTCCACACACCTACCTAACCCCTTTTCTGGTATGATTTGGATAAGACATGCACTGGTCTGGGAGTTTTGTGGCCTGAGTCCTAGTTTGGACTGTGCTATGTGACCTTGGGCAAATCACTTTCCTTATTAGAGCTTTTGTTTTTTTCAAGATGGCACTGCTAAACTGTCTGCTCAACCTATTCACGGAGTTCTGAGATCTGAAAGGGTGAAAATGTGCTTTATAAATGGTACATACTATATTGTGTCAGTTATTCTAAGCTTAAGTCTGATTATTCACAAATATGTGGCATTATCATTGATCATCAGGAAAAAACTTTCTCCCCTATCACACAGTTACTCAGTTAACTGTTCCCTTTGTCCTCTGGTAAGAGGCTAGCCTTTTGGCTAGTCTCAGGTTCCAAGGTTTCACCTGGCTACAGGCTGGGGTTTTCTAGCAAACTCCTGGGAGAGAAAACCAGCTCTAGGAATAAGGGATCCTCTTGAGTTTACATAACTTTCTGAGCCCTGGACCCAGAGTGAGAATGTGTTGATTCTGGCTGCTGATGGGGCAACCAGCTGGGGCAGAAGAGTTGGCTTGAAGCTTACAAATAACACACTGTTCCTGCAGGGAAGAGTGTGACTGACTGCCTTTGGCTTTCTCTACTCTTGTTATAGGCTCTCTTCTTGCTCTTCTTGTTAATGTCTTGACCTTTTAACTCTCTGCTCCCCAGTTCTAACGACAGGCCCTTGAATCTAACATAAGGGTCCTTGACACCTCCCTGTCCAAATCAGTTTCTATCTTGTTCATTCCACCTCCAAAATCTTGAGCCTGTCCCCTCCTCTCATCCCTGCAGCTACTAAGTATACCATTACCCTTTACTTTACCTGGATCACCATAACTGCCTCTTTACTGATCTCCCGGCCTCTAGTCTGGTGCGGACCAACCCATCTACACAGGATACCAGAGTTCCTTAACTTTGGACAACTCCCCATTCTTGCCACTCAAGGCCTTTATGTCTTGTCTCCTGCTGCCTCTCCTGTCACAGCTGCTACTCCAGCCACACTAATCATACTTATCTCCCAGTTCTCGGACTGACTTTCTAGTCTCCCGAGCTTGTGTATGCTATCCCTCTACCTGAAATGTATTTCCCTTCCTTCTCTACCTCCACTTGTGATGAGGCTTTAAAGCTCAACTCAAATGCTGCCTTTTATGAAATCTTCTCTGACTTGTTTCCAAAGAAATTTGGTTTTTCTCTTTGAATTTACACAACATTCATTGGAAGCTTGGCACGAAGCAGGTTTAGAAAAGGATACCACCAAGAAGTCATGCCCAGCTCCCGTAATGCTTTTGGTCTGAGTCCTCTCAATCTCAAGATTCTCCTCCCACCATTAGATGTGTCTACCTCCAAAATTGCCTACCTTCTTTTGGGAACTTCTCCTTGGACATTCTTTAGGGTGTTTATGTGTGTGACAGAATGGCCTTTGGTTTGACCCAAACATGCTCCTTCTGGGTCCTCTTGCTCTTTTACACACCTGAGTCCTGAGTCTCATGTGGACCAAAATGACCTCTGCCCATGATCCCCTGTATTGTCCAGGAGGCCACATGAAGAGGAAATAACCTAGGTTTGAATTCTGACACTGCCACTTTTGAGCTGCATGAATTCGGACCCATCTGCCTACCTGTAAAAGGAACATAACATCACTTACCTCACAAGGTAGCTGTGAGGATTAAATGAGATGTGTGTAAAGTGAATGAGATGATGTTCAAAATTTGATGACTGTTATGACTTGCCAGGTGAACAAAAGTGGCTGCTGTGTCCTAGAAAACCATGCATGTGATCATGCTGCCCCCCTGTGGACAAAGGGCACATAGCCCAGCAAAGGGACACCAAAGGGCTTGGTGGGAGAAATGAGATCACACACAGGTTACTTTTCCGCTAGGGAGCTCATGCTTTACTCTGAGATATTTATTGAACATCTAAACCAGAACTTCTCAGAATTAATGTGTTTGTTAGAATACAGATCAGTTCTTATTCAACAGGTCTGGGGTGGGGATAAAATCTTTAACGAGCTTCCAGATGATACTCCTGGCCCACAGACCACTCTGAATAAAGGTCATAAGTATAATGTGGGAGTGACATGACAGGAACTATTTAAGTGCCTCTCCTGTGCCAGTTCCTGAGAGAGCCAGTTAACCTATATTAACTTATATAGTCCTCCAGACCCTGAGGGTAGGTACCATTGATCTTCACTTACCAGATGAAGAAACTGCAGCACAAAGAGAGAAAGTACAGAGCTATCTCATACAACCTGTAAGGGCTGGGCCTTAATTTAGTCAGTCTGGCCCAAAAGCCTTTTAAGAAGACGACTCTTAATGGTGTGTAAAGGCTGACTGAAGGAAGGGCTGTGGTAGGGAACCAGCAAGGGTACTTGTGATTTAGTGATTTAGTGAAGTGATTTAGCTGAGATATGAGGCCTCAGCTAGGGCAGGAGCTGTGGGATGTAAAAGAGTGGGAGCTGTCTAGGAAGCTCTCTGGCTGTCTGGTTTGGGCAACTGGAGCAATGGTGGTACCTACAACTTACTGAACCAGGAAATGTGGGAGGAAGACAAGTTAGTTTCAGGGGGAGCTGAATATGGTTACAGGAATGGTCAACATGAGTGGCTTTTGGTCATCTGGGAGAGATATGAGGAGGTAAATGGACCTGCCTAGAGCTCAGGAGATGACCTGGGTTGTGGACAAAGTTTGGGTATTGGCAGATATAGTGTCTGAGGTCATGTGAACAGTGCACATACTGTCCTGTTCTGGGCCAAATTGACGGAGCAAATAATTTGAAGAGTTGGGACTGAACTCCAGGTCTCCCTGGCTGCAGTGTCTGTCCATTCCACGAGGCATTCTGGATCTGGGGAGCAGGCAGAGCACATAAAGCTGATGGGCTGCAGGAAACGGTTTTCTGGAGCTCTACGATGACTATATCCAACGAACTGTCCTCTGCCCCCAGATCGGCAGAAATAAGGACAACTCCACAGAGAAAGACTAGATTGATAAAGGTTGGGAGATATTTATTTTCTTTAACAAGATCATAAATAACAAAGAAACAAAGTAGGTCCCAGACTCCGGACCGTGCAGCAGGGCAGGGATAGGAAGTTGTTGGGTGGAAAGGTGGAGGGGGCTATGCATCACCTAAGACAGTCACAGAAAAGACGGGCTGCAGGAGACTGCCCTTCCCTGCCCTTGGAAATGGCGTGCCTGGGCAGCAGGGGGAGGCTGCGGTGTATGATGAGGCAGCTGGAAGAGGGGCAAAGATTGAGGATGCTAGGCTGTATTGTTTCTACGAAGAGTGACATGGAAACCACAAATGACAAAGATAAGCTGTGGGTCTAGAAGAGGCAAGCGGGCACTCTGCACACCTCCAGGGACCAGTGATGAAAATGGTTCAATTTGATTCTTAAAAACAACTCCACAGGCTTTAGTCTGTGGCTTTGTGCGTGGGCTGTACTTAACCTGGGTTGCTCTGTGGCAGGTGAGGGCTCAAGAGGCCCCTGGAGCAACCTGGCCTCAGCCCAAGGCAGGTGCCCAGACATGTGGGAGTGGGACGATGGGCTCTCCCCAGATGGGAGGCCATGTGCTTGGACTGGCTGGACCTGATTTTCAGGTTGGTTTCTTGTGATGCTATCCACCACCCCTCCTTGTACATAAGGATTGAATCCTGGACTTTATAGGTCTTCCAATCCTGGAAGAATAAGACTGGGATAAAAAGGTACCTGACTGGTGTTTTATTTGAAAGGGTAAAACAAGGACCACCCTGTCCATGGTCCATCCCTTGAGGTGGGGCAGGACCATGCCAAGAACAATCTCAAGGAATGGAGGTTTCTGAGCCTGGGGAGACATCTGGACCCAGATGCGTTGCCTAATGCCAGGAATAGAGGCCCAGGGTGGCAGTTCTGATGGAGGCTTCACCCTAGGTAAGGCAGGGAGAACTGGCAGGGGCTACCCCTGAACAGGAAAGGGGTAGGAGCTGGGGAGCCTTGGACTAGGGAGGCCGATGATAGTCAAAGGCCCTGGAAAACAATGCTTTTGGCAGGAATACACGAAAGGGTTTGTACATCTGGGGATGCCCGTCTACAGGGAGCCGGTGTCACATGGTCGGGCAGGATGGTGAGAAGGAGACAGCGGCATCACAGTGGCCTCTGGTGCGATGTATTTACAACAGAGCTCAATGTTGAGGGAGGGATGGATAGCAGGTCACTAACAGCCAGGAAACACACTGTGAGAGTGCAAAGAGAAGGGAAAACAAATGTGACCATCACTAACTTTGCCCCTGCTCACTCAGTCCCCTCCAGGAAGCCCTTCCTAATGACCACCAAGGCCCTTGCAGATTTGTCCCACCTCCCCACAGCCCCATCGAGGGCTAGACAAAGGGTCCGCTCTCAGTGAACTGCTGATGTGACCAAAGCTCCAAATGGTCCAGGGGCCGTAGACACTGCTTAGAGAAATTAAATCTTTACTGTTGATTCTTGGGATCCACCAATGGTCAGTTATCTGAGGGGTGGTTTGGCAAAGGGAGTTGCTTGTGTACCTCACTATGCCGGGCTCGTGTCATCATTTCCAACGCCTATGCTGCCCAGCCACCCTCATCTTCCAGGCCCTGGCACTTTGACTTCTTTAATGCAGAAGCCATTTCTTTTTCTTCGACACTTCAAACTTCCTGAGGATGGGGAACAGGTTTCCCTGGACCCTCACCTAAATCAGTTAAAAGACTTTCCAACTGGCAAGTGTGACTCCTCATTAGGTTTGTGGGCTCTCTGAGGATCAGGGGCCTTCTGTAGCACAGACTAGAAGCTCCCTGAGGTGGGGCCAAGTTCATGCATTTTAGGTCACCGTGCCTCTCTTCCTCCTCCTCTTCCTCTTCCTCAGCAGAGAGCCCAGCTGTGTCTCCCTAATCAGATAAAAAGCATCCTAGGATGATAGGTATCCTTTTTTCCTCTAAACCAGTGATTCTCAATTGGGAATGATTTTGCCTCCCTTGAGCCATTTGGTAAAATCTAGAGACATTTCTGGTTGTCACAACTGTAAGTGTGTAGGGAGGGGTGCTACTGGCTTCTGGTGAGTAGAGGCCAGGGATGTTATTAGACATCCTGCAATGCACAGGGCTCTGGATCTCTACACAGCCTCCATGACCTGCCAAACCTTCCTCAGCAGCAGGGCAGAAGGCATACAGAACTCTAAGAGCCTGGAAAAGGACCGATTCCCATCCCAGCCTCCTCAGAGAAGGGCCACCTCAAGAAGTATACATTGCAGTGAGGAGCTGAGGGACGAAGTACAATTGAATCTCAGCTCAGCAACAACCCACTGGACCAGAGCACACAGAAACCACCAACTATGGTGTTGTAGAAATGCACATGCTGGGCTCTGTGTTGAGGAGGAAGAAGAAAGGCATGGTGACCCAAATTAGGTAGGGTTAAGGAGGAGATATTTATATCCTTGCAAATATCTTTTTGTGGAGTTGGCCAGCACTGCTGGGCTCCTTAAACCTTTGTACTTCCTTACCACTGGAATCCACCGATGGGCTCTGCAAACCTGTGCCGGATCAGGAAAGTGGCAACAGCTTCTGCTACCTGGAAAAAGGAGAGATATTCCAGGCCATATGAAGGTTAGCGATTGTGCTCAGCCTCGGAGGTCCTGTGGGCTTCTGTTGGAAAGTTAGGCTCTATAGTGGAATCGTAGGTCCTACTGGTTTTAGGAGCTTCATATGAAAAGGATCCAGGTCCTGGAAGGGCTAGGAGACTCTTCCCCATCATCTTTGCCAGGATGGCTACTGAGAAGTCAGGAGGAATGAGGAGAAGGCTTATTCATCTCCCTAGAGTTACAAAGTACCTTTTTTTCTATAGGGGAAGCATGTTAATTTCTGTTACAGTAGTTTAGGGGGAAGTTTCTACCTTAATTATCTCTTTTCCCATCTGGCTTTTGGGGGTAATGGAGAAGTAGAGCTTAAGATCTTAACTGTAGGGCCCTGGAATGAAACAGCACGGTGCCAGTAGGTCCTTGGCCCATACACAGAAAGCCAAGACCATAGGCAGATGCCAGGGAGAGGTTTGGAGCTAGTGGAGTTGCATCTGTGAACGTCTCACAGGCTGACACACAGGCTTGTTGTATCTTCTGTGACACCCAAAGTTACTCTCACAGTTGTCTGCAAAACTCTCACAGTCATCAAACATTGGACTCACCTTGTCTGGGGCATCCTCATGGACTGCGTGGCCACACTGAGGTAGGACCTGCATCTGGAACTTCCCTGGAGAGGAAACAAACCCAGGTGACCTCAGAGACTAACATGGCCCTCTCCTTACCAGGGCACTGGTAGCCTCACAGGACACTCTAGGAGCCCAGGAACTCCTTCTCTCCAAATATTCTAGACCCAGTTACCAAGCCTTTGAGGAGGATAGGAATACTTGTAACCTTGGGCAAATCATTTTCCCTTCACTTTTTCCTTCTGAAGTAATTTAGTGTGCATTTACTTTAGACCAGACACATAAGAAGAAACAGTTCTTGTTTTCAGGGAATTATAGTCTAGCAGAAGAGCAAATTACAAGAACCAACATTTTAATGCAGCATGTTGTTCCTATGATTAAACTGAGCATATGGAACTGGAAGAAAATAAGAAGGCTTCGCAATCAAACAGGGATCAAGGGAGGCTTCCTACACAGAAAAAACAGCCTAAACAAAGGAAAGGAGGATGAAATGGTATTTGTTCCTAGAAATAAAGTTTGGCATGGTTTTGTGAGAGTTAATAATGAAACTGGAGAGGTAAGCAGGGACCAAACCATGCGAAAGTTCCATAAGCTTTGTTAAGGGTTTTGAAATTTATTGTGACAGTAATAATCACCATTTGAGTACTTAACTATGAGCCAGACACTGTACTAAGCCCTTTCTCATACTGTCTGTGGAATACTGCAAGCTCACAACTAATGTGGTAGCCAGTAAGAGTAAACAGAGATGACTGATAAAGCAAGATCTCTAAGCAGACAAAAGGATATGGGTCCCAGAGCTCCCATAGGTAGAGAGAGCACTCTCAGAGCCTCAGTGCCTCCATTTACAAAATAAGGGAGTAAGCTCTGACAGTCCTTTTGGTCATCACATTCTGTGATTCTTACCCCAGTTACAGAGTGCTTTAAAAATTTTTTTAAATACTCTTCTATCCATTTTTAAGTTGATTCTCAAATCTACTCTATAAAATTAAGCAAGATGAATACTAAAATTCTTTGAGATGATGAAACTGAAGTCATGATTAGTGATTTGCCCAAAGTGGCTTAATTAGTAGAGGAACTAAGACCATTCCACCCAATAAGGCCCAGCGTATATCCCTCCTCTTGCAGTAAGCTGCTCTGGGTACTCCAGCCTACTCTACTCTCCCTTGTATCTCCTAATGTAGTGCTGTTAATGTATTTGAATACAAACACAGAGCAGCTTGTGCCCCTTTTGTTTTGTAAGCTTGTATTTTATATGCCACTGGTGCTTGCCTCCTCAGAAATGTGTCACTTCCACGAGAACAGAGGCTAGTATCATTACTTGCTCTATATCCCTAATAGTGCCAAACACAGGGCTAGACATTGAGCATGTGGTTAGTAAGTCTTGGATGAATGAATGAATGAACAACTGACCTGATAAAACTTACAACTCCATCCACTCTGGAATTAATGACTAGGGATGCATTTTTCATTCCTCTTTAGAAGAATAAGTATAAGGAATCAGGGAGAACTCATATATACTAACAATACTATGTTCAGGAAACATAAAATAATATGATCATGGGTAATCCTCACAATTATTCTATGAGGTGGGCATACTTCCAAACTCTCCTGTCCCATCTTACAGATGAGGAATCTTAAGTTCAGAAAATCTAAATTGTTCACCCAAGTTGCATCATGAATGAGGGCTGGGTAGCTAGGATTCAATGACTAATTCAGCTGGTTTAAATATAATGCTGACAAGGCTGTGGTTAGGAATTTATGTCAACTTAGCCATTTCCCTTTGTTTTATGGGATGTCCCTCATCCCAGCTATTTACTGTCTATGCTCATAGGATACTCTGAAAGAGAAGGTGGTCTTGGCATAATCCTTACTGGGAATTGGGAGGGCATCTAATGAGGAATCATAAGTACTTCCTGAACATAATGAAGCCATCATTTGTAAGATTCTTTCTTCACCCATATTTTCTCATTTAAACCTCACACAACTGTATTGAGATATATATCATTATCTCCATTTTATAGATGAAAAAACTCAGGATTACTGAGGAAAAAAATGGCAAGATGATAGAGGCTCTGTTCATTCCTCTGGCGACCAAATCAAAGTTGTGATGGAAACAAGGAGCAGCAGCAAGAAAAACTGCCTGAGATCTAGATGAACAAGCCATACAACTAGGGAGAAGTCCAGGAAGTCACCCTGTAAAGGCAGAAGTTAGGACAGGGTGAGGACGCAGGGCTGCCCAGTCCTGAGTGGCTGAGTGAGACAGAGGTGGAAGCAGCGGCAGTGTCTTAAAGGGCTGCGTCTGCGAGCAGATTTTCACGGTGACAGACCTGCTCACTCTGAGCACCAGTGCCAATTCGGCTGTGTGCAGGGGGCACCAGGGACTTACGGAGAGATATTGTCGGAGTGAGGGCCTAGGCAAGACTTGCTCTGTACAGAAGTGCCAGCAATATCCACTGTTCCCCGTTGAGCCCTCCCCCGTCCCAGTGCATGGCCACAGTGCTGCCATAGTGGAGACATCATCAAACTGGATAACAGAGGTCACTCCACCCAGAGGATTTCCTGAAACCCCGCCTCCCCCAACTCCGGGCTCCACCCAAGCCACATCCAGGTATATCTTCAGCGAGTCAGATGAGCCTTGCTGAGCAGCGCCTAGACTCATACTGGAGGCAGCTGGCCTCAGTTTCTGGTGTGGCCTTTTGAGGCAACTATAAGCACAGCATCTGTGGATTGCTTGCTGAATTTTAACAGGTGGCCGCGGAGGGGCACAGGCTGGGGCTAAGTCTGGCCTACAGCTTAACTCCTCTCAGGACTGTGCCAATGGACACCTACTTCATAAATCCACACTAATAAGACCGGGAGACTTAGGAGCTTTGCTTAGTACATAGAAACAGACATGGAAAGGCAGCCAAAATGGCAAGACAAAGAAATAGAAACCATTTGAGAGAACAGAACAGAGATCCAGATATAATAGAGTCAAGTAATCTAACAGATACAGTTATAATACAGTTTATACACTGGTTATAAAGATGCTCAATGAACTTTTGGGAAGTGTAGAGAAATTCAGTGAGAACTTCAACAAAGAGATAAAAAAAACACAAAAATGGAAATAGAAATTATAAAAGGGAACCAGTCTGAAATGAAGAACACATTATCTGAGAGAAGTATATTAAATGGAATAAACAAAGGAATAAACAAAGTCAATAAAGAAGAGAATCAAATGCCCTATCTAGAGGACAGGAAAGCCAAGGACACTCTATCAGAATGGCAAGAAAAAAGATGCCAAGACTATAAAAATAATTTAAGGAGGATATGGGACACTATTAAGGCTCCAAATATTCCTCTGATCGGCGTAACTGAATAAAATCAAGATGTGGAACAGCTGTTTGAAGAAATAATGATGGAAATCTTCCCTAACCTGGTGAAGGAAATGGACATAAAACCCCAGGAAGCTCAGAGAATTCCAAAAATCAGGGATCTAAAGAGGCTCACACCAAGACACATAAAAGCAAGGGCCTACAACCAAGATTACTTTACTCAGCAAAATTATCATTTAGAATTAAAGGAGAGATAAAGAGCTCCCCCGACAAGAAAAAGCTAAAGGAGTTCATCATCATCTCACCAACATTACAGGAAATGTTGGAGGGACTTCTTTAAGAAGAAGATATATGTAGCAAAAATAAAGAATAACTACTTACCTGTTAAAACGTACCTCAAATGAAAAAGAATTAAGTGCTCCAACCAAAAGATAGGGTGGCTGAATTGATAAGAAAACAAGACTCCTACATATGCTGCCTATGAGAGACTCACTTCAGATTAAAAGACACACACAGACTAAAAGGAAGGGAATGGAAAAAGATATTGCTTTGGTGGAAGGTATTTAAGTCAGACAGAGAAAGATAAACACTATATGATTTCGCTTATATGCGGAATCTAGGGAACAAAAGGAACAAACTAATCAAAAACAGACTCACAAATATAGTGAACAATTTGGTGATGGACAGAGGGGAGGGGTGTTTGGGGGGCTGGGAAAATAGGGTGAAGGGCTAACGAAGTACAAATTAGGAGCTTATGGTCACGGGGATGGGGAGCATGGCATAGGGAATGTAGTTAGCATAAATACACTGGCTAGGTGGAGGGTCAGGGGAGGGAGGGTGCAATTGTGGGGATCATTTTATGAACTATATAGATGTCTAACCAATGTACTGTATACTTGAAACTAAATTTTAAAAAGTTAATTCACTCAGTTTTAAGAGAAAGAAAAAAAAAAGAAAAAACTCAGGATGAAAGAAGTTAGTAATTTACTCATGCCACAAAACCTGTAATAGTGATTCAAACCCAGGACTGTCTAATTCCAAGGATGGTGATTGACACTGATTCCAAGGGCTATTCCAGTCCAGATTAATTGCTTTCTAATAGGATCAGGGACCATGTTTGATTCTTCTGTCTGCCCAGCATCAAGCATAGATATCGCATAGAAAGAGTGCTTAGGAAAGGTTTGCTTAAATTGAATTTAAAGAAAGGTATCCAAACTAAGAATTATCAACATCAGTGCCATAAACATCACAGTCCCAGCCTATGGTCCTGCTACAAGTCTCAAGACACTATGCAGTTGGAGGAAGGGAAGGGTATGAGGGCCTGGGGCCAGAGTTTGATAAATCATTCAGGAGCCTTTGAACAACTATTATAAAGGAATATTGCCCCTTTCTCTGTGGAGAGCTTGAGGACAGCTAAAAGAACAGTTTGCGGAGCCCATGAAATATCCAAGTGGAGACATCCAGCAGGTTTGATATATGGGCCAGGTCTGGAGCTCAGGAGAGAGAGACGAATTAGATGTTTAGCTTTGGGAGTTTTCAGGGTATAAATAGAGGTCATAAAATTGCCCAGGAGAGTAAGAAGAGAAGTCAAGAACAAAATCTTCTTAAGCCTGAAACATTGGCTTTGAAGTTGACACCTCTTCTTCCCATAGCCCAAAAGTTGCCAATGCCTACTGACTTCACCTTCACCAAGGCTTTCATCCATAAGAAAGCAAGAGCTTCCACAAAACTGGTCCCACTGCAGTGTCATCTGGACAACACAATGGCATAAACACATGTCACTTTCCTATTCATGATGCCTCATGATGCCTGTGAGGCTGCCATCAACTTTCTCATCTTATAGATTGAGAAACTAAAGCTAAGGCAAGTCAAGTAACTTGCCTAGTGTCAAAAAATTAGTAGGAAAGAAGCAGTACACAAATGCAGTCCCGCAAACCTCAGAGCCCTTGCTTTTACCACCTCACTATACTGTCTTCTAAACAGAGTTTACACTTTTTTTGTATCTAGATTATCTTGGACTTTTCCCTTTCCTGAGACTTCCAACAATAAAATTACTGATCAGTATTCATAATATCTCCTTTCATAATATATATACCTATAGAGTACTTTAGAGTTTCTAATGCCCTTTTCAAAGACATTGCCTAATTTTAGTCCTTACAGCTCTGAGACATAGGTGTTAGTATAATTCTCATTTTTAGAAGGGGAAAAAAATGGAAGCTCAGAAAAGGGAAACACTTGCTCATAATCATAGACTGAGTCAAGAGCAGAGGTGGATGCCAAATTTGGGTCTAACTCTAAAGCTCATGCTCGCTCTCCACTGCACCTCACTATCTCAGAACATTAATTTCCACGTGACTCTGCCCCCTTACTGTGCCTTCAGAGAAAGACCTACAGACTTAATTTCTTGATGACTTACCTTGCATTTGGCCAATAGTCAGATCTTTATCCAATCTATCAACACCTGGAACAAAATGAGAATCCATAAGCACCTTACCAGAAAAGGCTGTGAAATAGGTTTTGCTGTTCAAGTATGATATAAAAATTGTTACAAAGTTGTAAACATAATGACATTCTTAATTCATGTTAATGGCAATCCTAACTCTCTGAGGGTACAGTCTTACCACATGAAGCTTTCCAGGCAATCACTTTGCTTGTTTAAACTGGTTGCTGAAAACAGAGTTTTACTTTTTAAATTTCCATTATACTCAGAATATCTTTCCACCATTCTAGGAGGACTTGGGCTTGACCAGGTACAGAGGCCAAGCCAGAATCAGGCCATCCCAGATAGATGCTTATACTTCATTAGGTTTAGAGATTTGGTGTGGGGAGGAGAAAAGGCACAAATGAGTGAAGATGGTACTTCACCTTGGAAGTCACCACCCATTTGGTGAGTACTTATATATATAACGAGGAAATATTGAGATGACAATATACCTATACTGCTATGAACTGAACTGTGTCCCTCCCAAAATTCATATGTTGAAGCTCAAATCCACAATGTGACCATATTTGGCAATATGGAAATACGTAAGGTTAAATGGGGTCATAACGGTAAGGCTTTCATATGATATGATTAGTGTCCTTATAAGAATAAACCAGGGAGCTTGCTCTTGCTCTCTCTCTGTCATGTAAGGAAACGGTAAGAAGAAGGTTGTTTGCAAACCAGTAAGAAAGTATTCATCAAAACTTGACCATGCTGACTGATACCCTGATCTTAGACTTTAAGCTTCCAGAACTGTGAGAAAATAAATTTGTTGTTTAAGTCACTCACTCTATGGTATTTTGCTATGGCAGCCTGAGCTAATACATGCACAAACACACTTACCAGCCAAGAGCAGCAACTTAGGAATAGGGCAACTAAGAAAGAGATTAGATAAGCCTCGGAACCAGCCATCCCAGTATTTCTCTGTTTTTGCCAGTTCAATTCTCCAAGTGTATGGATGATCTTTCTTGGTCTGAAGAAATAAGAGCAAGTTCTGAGTCTCTAAGGGCAACCCCTGGAGGAACAGGATAAAAACTAGTTCCCTGGGAAAAGGAAAGGGAAGGAAACTAGCACATATTAAGGGCCTACTATGTCCCAGACATTTTAATATACATTTAATCCATATAACAGCATTGCGATATGATATAGTTGTAATTGCCATGTTTAGATAATTAGAAATTTACTTTTACTTCTATTAGTTTCAGAAACTCAGGAAATTTTCTTAAGATCAAAAAGCTAGTAAATGGTAGAGCCAAGACTGAGTTTCTCTTATACACATTTGGCAAAAAGAACACACCATCAAAAGGATAATTACGAAAAACACATTGCAGTACAGGGAATAAAATGCTTACAATACAATATTAAGTGAAAGAAGCAGAGTACAAATACGTCACGTAAGTTAGGATTACTTCTGAAAAACTGCAGTATATTTTCGAAAAAACTACAAGGGAAAACTAAAAGTACGTTCATTTGTTGGTATAGCATTTTTTTCCTTATATTTTGATTTATGACAATGATACAATGTTCCTGCAATAGTAATTTTAAAAAGGAAATTTGACACAATTGTGATAAAATTTCAGTATCTGTTAAATCTCAGTATAAAGTAGATGGATGGGCACAGAGTATGCACTCATCAAACACAAGCTGAACAAATAAATAATTCTCTATACTTTTATGCATCACTGAGAATTTAAAATATTATAACTGAAATAATTGGGATACCACAATATGAAAATCTAGAGGTAAACATGAGATGACAACATATTGTGTTAAAGATCACTGAATGGTTAAAATGTCCATACTACCCAAAGCAATATGTAGATTCAACACAATCCCTATCAAAATCCCAATGGCATTTTTTTCAAAAACAGAAAAGTGCATCCTAAAATTCATATGGAATCTCAAAAGATCCTGAACAGCCAAAACAATTTTGGAAAAAAAAAAAAAAAAAAATGGAGGACTTACACTCTCTGATTTCAAAACATATTACAAAGCTACAGTAATCAAAACATCATAGTACTGGCACAAAGAGAGATAAAATATACCAATGGAATAACGTAGAGAGCCCAGAAATAAACCCTCACATATATGGTCAAATAATCTTTGACAAGAGTGCCAAGACCACTCAGTGGGGAAAGGACAGTCTTTTCAACAAATGGTGCTGGAAAAATAGAATATCTACATGCAAAAGAATGAAGTTATACCCCCAATCTCATACCATACACAAATGGATCATAGACCTAAACCTAAGAGCTAAAACTAAAAAATTGTTAGAAGAAAACATAGGTATAAATCTTTGTGACCCTGGGCTAGGGAAAGCCTTCTTAGGTATGACACCAAAAGCAAAACCAACAAAATGAAAACTAGATAAACTGAATTTCATCAAAATTGAACACTTGCTCTTCCAAGAATACCATCAGGAACGTGAGAAGACAACCCTTAGCACAGGAGAAAATATTTGCAAATCAGTAACTTGTATCTAGAATATGTAAAAAACACTTAAAATTCAATAAAAAGATCAACAGCCCTATTTAAAAATGGGCGAAGGATCTGAATAGACATTTCTCCAGAAAAGATACATAGATAGCCAATGAGCACATGAAAAGATGCTCAATATCAAGAGTCATTAAGAAAATGTAAACCAAAACCACAATGAGATACCATTTCATACCCACTAGGATGTCTATAATCAAAAGAGAGAGACAATAACAAGTGCTGACAAGGATGTAGAAAACTGGATCCCTCATACAGTGCTGGTGGGAATGTAAAATGGTACAGGCACACTGGACAACAGTATAGCTGTTCCTCAAATGATTAAACATAGAGTTACCATCTAGCAATTTCACTAGTAGAAAAATAAAAACTTGTGTCCACACAAAAACTTGTACACAACTGTTTGTACTAGCATTATTCATAATAGACAAAAAGTAGGAATAACTCAAATGTCCATTAACTGATGAATGGTTAAACTATGTGGTCTATCCATACAATGGAATATTATTCAGCCATAAATAGTAATGAAGTACTAATACATGCTAGAAAATGGATGAACTTTGAAAATATTATGCTAAAGTGAAAGAAGCTAGTCACAAAAGCCAACATGTTGTATAATTCCATTTGTATTAAATGTCCAGATTAGGCAAATCTATAGAGGCAGAAAATAGACTAGTGGTTGCCTATGGATGGGAAGGTTGGGGAAAAATGGCAAGTGACTAAAAATAGGTATATCATTTTTTTTAAAGTGCTGAAAATGTTCTAAAATTATATTGTTATAATGGTTGTAAACTCTGTGACTATATTAAAATTGCATACTTTGGGTGAGTTACCTCTCAATAAGGTAGTTTAAAAAAAAGAGGAATATCTCCTAGACAACTGAAGTTTATTCCTTTAAGGAGCAGAGCTTAAATGTTTTCCCTTTTCTATCTTTTAACCATTCTGTACCACATTTGCCTCCCCTTCCCTCCATTAAATGTATATCTTTGTCTTCTTTTACAGAGCAGAATGGATGCAACTGACCTATTATGCTATTTCAAACACCACTTTTTACATTGTGCTATAACAGAGAGGCTCCTAAGGACTAATGGGCCATAAATGGCTGCTAGATACAAAGCTTTAGAAGTTATGACTGATTTTCTTAAGTTTAATTTGTATTATTAACATTTCTCCATAATTTTATTTAACAAATTATTTTTATTGAAATATAATTGACAGATAACATTACATAGGCTTATAAAGTGTTGATTTGATACATTTATATACTGCACTATGATTACCACCATAGCACTAGCTAACACCTCTATCATGTCACATAATTATCATTTCTTTTTTGTGGTGGGAACAATTAAGATCTAATCTCTCAGCAACTTTGAAGTTTATAATACAGTATTGTTGGCTATAATAACTATGTTATGCATTAGATATCCAGGACTTATTTATCTACTAGTTGTAAGAAGTTGTGACTATTGTTTGCAGTTTCTTTGTATCTTTCTTAAAGTATAAAATATTTAGCTATATTCCTTATTGCTTGATGTGCCTTAGTTTGCCCTCCTAACAAAACTGTTGGAGTTTATATAACTTCATATAATTGGGCTTATTAAAAATTGCAAAGAAAAAAAGCATTGGAATTAAAAAGCAGAGTATCTGGATGTGTTTAAGTGCGAACATTTATGTGTGAACACAGGTAAGTATATGTACCTCAGCTGTAAAACAGTGATAATATCTACGATGCAGAGAACTAACATGAGAACTAGAGACGATGTGAAGCACTCAGTATAATTCCTAGCACATAAAAGGTAAAATGTAATTGATAGTTTATATCAGTCTCAAATCTACTAAATACTACTTGATTACTTTGGGAAGTCTCTTCATCTCTGAGTCTCAGTTTTTATACTGTAAACATGGGAGAATAGATCTCCCCTCACCTCTCAGAGTGTTGGAGGGCAAATTGATCAGGCATTATTTATATTTTTGTAAACTCCAAAATGATTCTCACTAAAAATACTGTTTTTAAAAAATATACTTTCCTCCTTGTTAACAGTAGCATCTTCAAATGCAAAGGAATATGTGGTATATACCAAGTCCATTACCTGCCATTAGTAAGGTGTTTGTTTATCTTTTATAATCCATCCCAGAAAGTCTGCTAGTCATGCTCACTAATCATTTCCAAGAAAAAAAGCAGCCCTTTCCATTACCATCCTCAAATCAATTGCTCAGCAAGTACTCACAGAACCCTATGCACACAAATCTGAGTTAAATGCTGAGGGAAATTCATACAGAACATTACTTCCTAACCTCACAATACACAGGTTATTTTTGTTGGGAGACAATTCTTAGGTAATTAGAGGACAGCGAGTCTGCATTCTAGGAATGACTACCAAGAGATCATAGTATATCTGAATGTGGCTTATGAAAATAAGTTCTATGAGTTAGCTATAACTTCAAAAAAACAAAGTGCTAAGTTGTGTCATATAGATTCTCAGTGCTGTGCTGGAGAGGGACTGACATAAACCGAGGTCAGAAGGTTACCCCAAGGAGATACACCTTGAAAGATGGATAAGATTTGGATGGGCTTAGAATAGACTGGTAGAAAATGGGATTTTCTTCATGAGATAAATCACAGGGCCAGAAGTACAAAGGTGAGAAAGAGCTTGATGAGAAAGCAGTCTATGTGAGGATAGGGTATATACTATAAGTTTTATGTTCCAATTTGTCAGTGGTATCAACAAGTGCCTTATATCTTATAGTTAACCTAAGTACCTATTATGATGATGTCTTTGCCCCCCAAAATATTTAATGGTAGACAAAAAGAACAATGTCACATCCCCTTCCCTTTCCCACACTCTGAACACTTCCCTACCGCATCCTTCCAAGTATGAAGACTTTTACTCACCTCCATGTCATCTTCCTTTTTCCTCTTGTTTACTGACTCACTTCCTTCTTCGTCTTCTTCTTCTTCCTCTATGATTCCTTCCACTATAGATTTTGAGCCTTCTGGACTTGTAATTCCTTCACACCTAGGTTTTTAAAAAATGCTATCACATACCTCTCTTCCATACACAAATTATCTCAGAAATACTGATACATTTGTCCTTTTATAATCGACTGTTAAAACTTAACAATGCTCCTGGGAGGAGGGCGTGAAAAATGGGCATTTAAAAAGATACAAAAGTAGACCAGGGCTGTGGAAGGTCATGGCTAAGGTATGACTATACTACAAGGGATGGTTTCCAGTTCTTGCATCAATACTGACACACAGAAGGGAGTAACCATTTCCTGGTGACAAGAGTTTTATTGGTATTATCTTATATAATCCTCATAACAATCCTATGAAGTAGCCCTAAAGAGTTAAAAAAAAAAAAAAGGTCCAGGATCACCTAGCTTATGAGTGGATGAAGCTGGGAGGCAAATCCAGGCCCAATTAACTCTGAAGCATGGTGCTTTTCTACTATACCCTGCTTGTAGAACAAACCTCAAACAGAATTATAACAAGGCCCCACTTTTTAATTAGTTGATAGAAACTGGCAATTATAATAACCATGCCAGCTGAACCTTGGGGATTAGAACATCTGATCCAACCAATTATTTTTGTTTTTCCTCTGAAAAACCTACAATATCTCTTTATTATGTAATCAGGTAGAAAAATTATTATATATGAACAGCTGGTACCATAATTCCTTTTAGGGAGAACTTACTGGAAAAAATATATTGATGAGTGTTAAAGGTAAAAATCTCAAGGGCCTAGGTAGCAGCTAGTGCCAAGGTCTGCTCTGCATAGTAGAGAAATTTTTTTTTTTATTTTTCCCTTGAAAGAGAGAGAGGAAGAGGAGGAGAACAAACAAGATGAAAAGAGAAACTGAAGGTCAGTGAACTTCAGTGGTGGATTTTTAAGAATGATTAACACCTCTTTCTCTGTTTCCTCTACCAAAACCTTCAGTGAAGTGAGTGTTCAGAAATGTTTTGTTCAGTGGGTTTTTTTGTTTTTGTTTTTGTTTTTAATGAAACTTGAGGCATTAATTTCATACCTAGGTCAAAGGACCATAACAAAAAAACATGTGCTTTGGATTTCTACAGCTATGGATTGAGTGGTTCAAGAGAATTTTACCTAGATCAAGAAGGGCAGAAAGGTTCCGGCTGATATCTATGTGACAATTAAAACACATATACTTTTATATACAAAGGTTTACATATTAAGGGAAAACACCATTTAAGTTTATAAATTAGGTAAAATTTAAAAACCAATGAGCTACATGTATATAAAGTCATGTAACTTCCTTACAAAATGCTTTACCACTGCTTAAACGAGCAGTCTCAAAATATTTAGGAACTGAGAAGTAGGTAGTTTCATAGTTTATTCAAGGCCTTTACACTGTATCTGCCAGATATTACTACTCAAATTGCTCTTTTAGGCATAAAATCCATTAATATGGGCTTTGGTATCAAATACACAGGAGTTCGAATCTGAGCTCTGCAATTCACTAGCTGTGAGATCCTGGTAAAATCACTTTACCTTTCTGAACTTCCATATCCTCATCTATAAAACAATAAATTATCTTAAAGAGATATTGTAAACATTAAATGAGATAGTGCAAATGAATTAATGAATCCAGGTTATGATCACTGATGACTACTAACATTCCGAAAAAAGAGACAACCAGGTATTATGTGCTTCCTAATGGCATTAAATAGTATCACCTATTCTTGAAAACAAAGAAAAAGCCCAAATAACAAACCAACCTGAACTTGATCAAATCTCTGGATCTAACTAACAATTTACAGACAATACAGGGAACAAAAGAACATGTTATACCTTGAGGAATCAATCAGCAAATCCAGATTATGGGAAATTCTACAGGGCAAACAATCAGATTTCTTCAACACATAAATTGCAAGGAAAAAAATGAAAGAGACAGAAGTGGAATCTATAGAGAACATACTGAAACCTTACAGAGGAAATTGTTTTTGTCTGGAATTTGTTTCAAAATATTTTGTGCTTAGGGAAAATAAATAGAGACACAGATGAAATAAGACTGGCCATGAGTTAACAACTATTGAAAATGGGCAATGGGTACATTGTAGTTCATTGTTTTATTCTACTTTTATATGTTTGAAAATATTCTATAATATAAAGATTTTAAAAACAAGAGAGTGTATATAAAATATCCTGCACAATGTCTGGCAAATAGCAAACAGTCAATAATGCCATTATCATTTTCAACAACTCTTGTGCTCCCTGTCCATTCCATTGCGTGACATTTTCTCAAATCACCTAAAGTTTATTTTGTGTCTACATAACAATATCCAGGACTCATGTAATCCTATCCAGGATGATCAATGGGGCTAAAAAATCTTAGCTTACTCTTTAATTTGGCTTTGACTCAGGCTATGCTAAAGCTTTTATGCTGTAATTTCCTTATAACCAGGTTTGGCTTAGAAGGAGGCTGTCATCAGAATGATACCATACTGTCAGCATTAGAGAAGATACCTAATTTTTAATGTCCATTCTCTGGGATTCTTCACCTTTAACAACTAAAGTTATAATAAAGTAATCCAGTATTATATAGAAGACACTATTTGGTCTTAGGATTTCCTCAAGAAAGAGAAAGAAAAAGAAAAGAAAATCTATACAACTGGCTCAACTGAGCTCACTTGTAAAAATTACCTAAAGTAATGAAGGCATTCACAAGGATAATAGGATAGGTATATGACAGAAAAAACAGTCTGTAATTCCCTCACCATGTTTCAGTCTGTAACCAGCCCAACAGGGAAAAATAAGACCTACTGTTTGACTTGGCCAACCATTGAGACACGGGCAGACTCCAGATTTCGAATCTGGCCACTCTTCACACTAGAAAAGTGAGAAGGGAGAGAAGAGGTTATTTAGCATCCATCTTATCAAGTCACTAGAGTCAAATGAATAATTCTGCAGATTCTGTAGGACCTACTAAAAAGTTATGGTTACCAACAGAGCTTACTACTTTCTACTTGGTTATTACGGCTATAAGCCAGCTAGTAAAAATCAAGTAAAGATATTGAAGACATTTCAATTCTGCAAATATTCACCAAAAAGATACCATGTGCTAGGCCCACGCTCAAGAAACACAAACAGATAATTTTAATATAATACGGCAAGGTTCAAAGGAATCACTTTATTTTTAATGAGGTTAGAGAAAGCTTCCCAAATGTCCTACCTAAACCGAGAACTGAAGGTAAGAAGTTAAGTGAAAGATAAAAGGGGGTGGTCAGAGCATTCCTGGCAGAGGGCACATTGTGAACGAAGGCACTGTGATGTGGAAAAATCAGCAAGATGATGATTTTAGAGGACAGCGTGCAGGGAGAAGCAGGGGAGAGCAAAGGGGGAAGTGTGACAGAATAGGATAAGCAGGCAGGAGCTAACTCCCAGAGGGCTTTGTATGCCATGATATAGAGCTTAAGAGCTTAGACACTATCTTAATAGATTAGTTTTCACAGAGTTGTCTACCTAAGTATGCCTCAGGGCCAAACAAAATGACTGCATGTTCCAGGGAGAACTGGAAACACCACCTGAAGCAGGCCACCAGAACACATTTCTTTAAATTTCGTTTTTTGAACTTAAAAAATCATAAAATGTTAAAGTGCACCAGCCTTAGAGAATGACTTTGTTTCTTATTTTCATGATAAACAGAAGCAATCAGAAGAGATACTACTTCATTTTTCTACCACCAACTGAATTTATAGTACCTATGAATCCACCAGTATGTGATGATATATTCTGCTTTGATGGCTGGTTAATATATGAAATATCTCTGTTCCTATTTGGAGACAACCTTGGGCACTAGTTCCCATCCCCTCTTCCTTATGAGGACCTTGTTTCCCCTATCCTGTCTCTCTCCTGTCATCATTTTTTTTTTTCTCTAGTGGATATTATAAAACATTCTTTAAAAACATTTTCTAGCCTTGAAAAACTTTTCAACTCCACATTCACTAGTAGATACTACCCCATTTCTCTGTTCTATGTAACAAAACTTCTCAAAATGCAGAAAAATGTCAAATCACTATATGTACTCCTGAAACTAATATAACCAATATAAGATTGTAAACCAACTATACTTATATACTTAAATAAGAAAAAAAAAAGTCATCCTACTTGCTTTCTCCATTTTGTTACCTCCCATCCTTTCCTTAACTAACATCCCCAACTTACAACAGGTTTTCATCTCCCGCTTATTTTTTGAGATTTCCTTTGCAAGGTCATCTCCATCATGCCAATTCTAATGGTCATTTCTTAGCCCTCATCTTAGGTGATCTCTCAGCATTATTTCACAAAGATGCTCTCTCCCTCCTTCTAGAAACACTTGCTATACTCTCTGGTTTTCCTCCTGTCTCACCAACTGTGCCTTTTCAGCTTCCTTTGTTGAAGCTTCCTCTTCTTTCCAAGCTCTAAATATTGTATATTATCCTAAGGTTCAGTTCTTGGATCTTTTTTCTATCTCCTAGGTGATCGCATTCAATCTCCTGTCTTTAAATATTATTTACACAAAGATTATTCTTCGATTTATCTCTAGCTCAACCTCTTCTAACCTACAGACAGTCCCTGACTTAGGATATAGTCAGCCAAGCAATCATGAGGGTAAACAACTGATATTCTACAGTGCGTTCACTGTGTTAGATGATTTTGCCCAACTGTAAACTAATGTAAGTGCTCTGGGCACATTTGAGGTAGGCCAGGCTAAGCTATGATGTTTGGGAGCTCAGGTGTATTAAATGGATTTTCAACTTAGGATATTTTCAATTTATGATGAGTTTATTGGGATGTAACCCCCATCATTGTTCGAGGAGCATCTGTAGTATATACAAGTGCCTACTTAACATATCTACTTAGATGTATATATTTCAGCTTATCCAAACAGAAATCCTGATTTCCTGCCCCTTATCTGCTCTCAAATCTGCTTCTCTTTGTCTCTTCCATTTACCAAATTGCTTAGGCTAAAAACCCAGAAGTCATCCTTGAGTACTGCCCTCCACCCCAACATCCTATCTGTAAGGCTGTCCTGTCAGTTCTACCTTCAAAATATATTCCAAATATGACCATATTACTTCCCCTGTTGCCATCCTAGTCTATACTTATCATCATTATTCTCCTATACTGCAACTGTCTCTTAACCAATTTCTCACTTCACTATCACCTCCACTCCCCACTGCTTTCCCTATTCTATTTCCCTCAGAGCAGCCAGAGTGGTGGAACCAAGATATAAATCCACATCTGTCCGACTTCAAAGCCCAGGCTCTTAATGACTATACCCTACTGCCTCTTATTAGGATGACCAAGAAACGAAAGCAGGAAGTCACTTAGCTTTTTATCTTTACTGAATTAAATAGGTCAGCCTTGTATTTCAACATCTTAAAAAAAAAAAAAAATCTAGAATAGCCAAAATGGCCATGAGTCATAAACTCGATTCAGATATCCAGCAGAGTGTACAAAACAAAATTACCAAATACTTCATATTATTCTTTCTGATTATCAGGCTCAGCGAGTGGGGTCTAAAAATCAGTAGCTTTCACAGAACCCAGAACATTTTAACATTCAACAAATAGTACATTTATCCTATCTTGCATCTGCAACTACAATCAAGACTCTGTATCTTCTTTAAGAGAAGGTTTACCATGACTCCCAGGCTGGATTAGATACCTATGTTCTGTTCCTCCTGTGCTCCTTCCATTGTATTGTGCTTACATATTTGCTTACTGTTATCTCCAGTTTTTTGATAAGAATTAAGCCTGATTCATCTCCAGTTCTTAGATCAGGTACTGAGACATCTTAGGTATCAAAAAAATGTTTACCAGATAAATTTAAAAAGTTATTTGGAATAATTTTCTCATTGGTCGTTACTGGGTAAGTAGGCAGGGTACCTGAACTACAAGTTGAGGGGCCGCAGTTGCATTCTCAATGCTAGGACTACCCAAGATGGATGGATTTTTGGTGCTTCGGAGAGAATGGTGGCATGAACATGGGGAGGTAGAAGCAACCTCACCAAGCACAATCATTCTGGCAAGCCATATTTGGCATGAGACCCTCTGTCCTAGGAAGACTCCCTTAGGATATATTTACTAAGTCTTAAATTCCCATTTGATATCTCTGATTCAGTTAATATATGTTTCACCCACGAGGGCAACCAGCAGTATGCTATATGCTGTATGAAAGTACAAAAGAAACAGAATAGCTTTTGCCCTTATGATGTAGGTAGGGCATTTAGACAGAAATGAAAATTAACAATATAAGCCTATCCTTTAAAGGAGGATTAGAAGACTTAAGGGGTAAACAGTGCAATACAATACAGACTTAAAGGTCTCAAGTAATTGTACTGATGGCAGTGATCTGCATAGTTTGGAGGAGTTAGAGAAAGGGTTCTGGAGAAGGTATTGGAGAGGGATTTTGAAGAATAGGTAGGAAGACAGGATACTGAAGATGTTTTATCCCAAGACTGATCTCCTTATGGGAGAAATGGTGTTTTACTTGTCTCTGAATCTTCACCCTTTAGCACAAAGTTAAGTGTTTAATAAATATTTAATCAAATACTTGATTGAATTAATGAGTAAATTAATGACTGAACAGCCTTTATTTTACTTAAATGGAAGCCATAGGCAATTCTGTCAGTGATTTTTACAAAAACTATTTGCCCAAGGGTTTTTCTTTATCCAAAACCCAAATAAAAACTGAGAAATGGAACCTAAACCCATCTTCTGTTTCTCCATCATTTTCTCTAGAACACAGAAAGTGAATCTAGAACTATGAAGCATCAGAGGTGGAAAAGGCCTTAGACTCTCATTAAGTTCAAACTCTTAACTTAGAGATGGGAACAGCTAGACCACAGATGATCCATAATTACTAAGATTCTAGGAGGTACTATAGTATATTAGAAAAAGGGTGAATTTTATACAACTGAGACAAGCCTGAAACATTAAAAATATTTTTAAAAATCTGCTCTTTATATAAATGTTTCCACTCATGATATTAATATAAAAGCAGGGGATTATTCCTTTGAACTTGGTGCTTGAGCTGGTGAAAAAGGAAAGCTACGATCTAACATTTAAAATAAATACAATATGGATTTGTGGGTTACCTCCATTCAATGGCATTCTCCAGAGACTTGAAGGTTTTAGGACGGCCACGTAAGAAATTCTGCATGCTATTAAGGGCATCCATGGCTGTACCTAGACATTAAACAAAAATTTTAACCACAGCGCTTAACATATTCTGAGCATTTATAGTTACTGGGTCAACTATATACATCGGCCCTCAATCACAGAAGAATTCAGTGATGCTTGGGGAAAAAAGATGCAGTTTAAGAAATTCAGAAGACTGATGAGATAGCCAGATTCCAAGATGGCCTCCAGTGATTTCTGCATCCTGGTATTGACTATTTGCTGTAGTCCCGCCACAATGATTAGGGTTGACTTGTATAGCAATAGTGTGACTTCTGAGACTGGGTCATAAGACATGGCAGCTTCTTTTTAAATGTTAAAATAAAATTATGAGACATACATACAATTAAATATTTACAGCCATAAAAGATGTTTATGAAGAGTTTTTGATGACATGGAGAATGATTATATAATGTAGGATGTAGGTGAAAGGGGTGAAAGTGTCAAAAGGTACAAGCTTCCAGTTATAAAATAAATAAGTCCTTCCAGCTTGGTGACTATAGTAAATAATACTGTATTATATATTTAAATGTTGCTAAGAGAGTATATCCTAAAGTTCTCATCGCAAGAAAAAAATTGTAACCGTGTGGTGATAGATATTAACTAGTGATCATTCTGCAATATATAAATGTATCAAATACTTACACTGTACACCTGAAACTAATACAAAGTTATATGTCCATTATATCTCAATTAAGAAATACTTGGAAAATCCTTTGCCACAAAATAATATAGAAGAAAGATATAAAAGACAGAGGGACATACTTCAAGAAAAGTGAAATCAACAATAAATTAAAACACAGCAATAATAGTCTACCATGAATGGCTCTTATAAGTCAAAGATTTTGATTTGGTTAGCACTAAGAAAACTTACCTTCCACAACATCAATCATGCACAGACCTAGGAGGCTTGGCACTAGGTTGGATGATGCTGTGTGGACTGCAATAGCACCACCCATGCTATGTCCAATCAGCATAATTGGAGGAGGGAGGTCCCCATACATGGCTTCAACCACATTTCCGACATCTCTGCAAAGAAAAGGAAAAATAAGCTGGGAAAGTTCTCTGACAACACTGTAAGAAATAGTTTACTTTCCTAACTCCTTCCTTTGGTCTCTACCTAACAGTCTTGCAAACATATCTAAGTAAAACTCCTGCCATGTTCCCAGTATCTATACACATAGTCACACATCTAGTTCTTCTGAAAAATGGCAGTTTAAAGACCAAGAACCCAAAATTTCTGACTTTCCTATATCACATTTTCACTGTTCTACACATTTAGTATAATTATATAAACATATACCTTTATTTTTAACCTAAGCTTGAAACTCTGGACAAATCATTTAATTGCCTCAGTTTCCCCATGTATAAAACAGGCAAACAACTTCATTAAGCATTATAATGTAGTGAAGTTTGGAGTCACAAGATGAATTACAGCCCTTGTTTATTTTTTACTATGTGGACTTAGATTAGTTATTTAACCTCTCAGAGTTTTAACATCTATAAAATGAAGATAAGAATATCATTTACTATTCTGGATTGCTATAAGGATTAACTAAGACAGTGAATATGAAAATACTTCAAAAAAGATAAAAGTCTTATACAAATGTTAATTATTATTTACAATTTGTTGTGTAAAGTTGTTTGAAGTACGAACATAAATGTAAGTATAGTATTCTCAGAAACTAGAAAGATATTCAGAGCTAATTTTTATTAGCTTCTCTCCTAGTCTTTAATTATGAGTGGTTTTGTTTAACAGTCAAATCTTAAAGCTTTAAAAATGAGGACTGAAGTATGAACTTTGGTTTTTATTTGCATATAGGCCTTCTTTGCTATAGCAATAGGCAAGTAGGGTATGTTTCTAGAGAGCACTGGCTCTTCTGTCTTTTTTGGGGAGTGGCTGAGTCAGTCAGCTTCAAAAGACAGTTTTGTCTTGCTGAGCGTCACTATATGCCTCAAGCACTCACAGTGTTAGCCAAAAACAGCATGTACGGATGTAGGAACACAGACTTTCAAAAATGGTCTCCACAGTATTCAGAATATCAAAGGTAAATGTTATTACTTCTGAAGGAACTAATCTTAAAAACTTCATATAACTACAGATGTGAATAGGGAAGCTGCAGCATCGGCAAACAATCTGAATAGGATATAAGGAAGCCACCCAATTTTATAAGTGAAACCAAATAATAGTTTAATATTCCTTTGGAGTTAAATTTAAAGCTAAAATTTTGGATTAGTAACAAATATAATGAATAAAATAAAAAGATGCTATGGAAGATTATCTAAATCCAGGTCTCCTTAAAAAACTATGTTGGAGGGGTTCTATAGCATCTGCTTCATGCATGAAGGTAGACAGTTGTGACACAAACCAATTTAGGAAAGGTATATTTCATCCAGGTAAAAGTTGGTTATGATCAATCATTTAATCATCTATCACCAGGAGAAACACATTCTTTTTAAAGTTATTCAAAGTATTCACTCAGCAGGATTAGTGCCTTACTTGAGACGTGTCCTGAAATTCCAAAGAAATAAAATAAAGATGAAGTAACAGGGATTAACTACAAATCTAGTTTGTAACTGGATGTACCACAATTTTGGTAGCTGCTTTTTCAGGGGATTCTACCATACTTATCAATACTAGGTTTATTTCCTGAAAAGCAGTACAGCATATCACAGGCCAAACAGAAAAAGGAATATTGGAGAAATCAGAGCTCAAATCCTGGTTCTTCTACTTCCAGTAAAGTTGCATCTAATGTAAAGTGTAGATTCTGAAGTTGATACGGAAGGCAAAAATGATGCTGTCAGTACTATTTGAAAACCCTACTAATCGTCCATTAAGTATATCCATTGGGGATTTCTGTTTCACAAGGTGATTGAATTTAGATACCATATAAAAGTTTTATTGCTTCAACAACTGTTGGCTGTTCGGATTCTTGGTAATTATCTTCATCTGTTGTAGACAGTTTTAATCATTTTATTTTTAACATTTTTTGTGCCATTCATCAATTTACTGTCTCTCAGCTCTAACTCCCCCTTCATTGCATGTTCTACAAAACTGAATCTGAGGCCTTTAAATATTTTTCCTTTGCCAGCTGGCATGGTATGAAGCTATGTCAGTAGCGAACAAAAGAGAGAGACATTGCAGAAAGAGGATTTATTCCTGGTTCATGTGTGTTTACTCTACAAGCTCCTATAACTTGCATTTCCTTAGCACCCAGGTCCTGCATTATGGGAAACCTACAGCTCCGGCACCACACACAGCTCACCCACTGCCCAACTTCTCCAGCACTCTATCCCTTCATCCCCAGTATTGTTCTCCACAATTATTGAAGCATAATTGGTATACAAAAATGGTACATAATTAATGTATATAATTTGGTAAATTTGGATATGCATATATACTCACGTTAGCATCACCATAAATCCATAAATCAAGGATTACCTTGTTTGCATCCTTCACTTCTGACAATTTCCTTGTATCACTTCTGTGTGTATGTGCATGTATTTGTGTGGGTGTGTATGGTAAGAACACTTAACATAAGATCTACCCTCTTAAACTTTTAAGTACACAATATCTGTTGTTAACTATAGGTATCACGTTGTACAGCAGATCTCTGAAACCACCCCCAATATTTTTGTTGTAGAGTGTCTCTGGTGTGATACCTCCTGTGAATAGCTTTCCTTGCACCCTAGAGGGCAGATTTATGGCAAGGTCTACCAACATGGCATCACAGTGACTTCTCTGCTTTCATTTAGAAAGCCACAGTCGTGAACTCTCCAACAAGGTCTAGGTCTCAAACTCTACCCATCTGTGTTTTCTCAGCCCAAGGGGATAGTAGCTGCTTCTTGCATCTGCTATTCCTATATTCTTTATTTTTGAATTTTTTCCCTTCTTTATTGAGGTATAATTGATAAATAAAATGGTAATATATTTAAAGTGTACAATGTGATAATTTGACACATGTATAGATTGTGAAATGATGCCCACGATCAAGTTAATTAGCCCTATATTTTTTAGAGTTCTCTTCTTGCTAGCCAATTCAACCTCACTCCAATCCCATATCATAGTTAATAAATCTTTATATTAAACTTTCCCTGTTCAAATTATTATGTGTTTTCTCTCTCTTCTGTTTGTCTCAGATTGATATATTATTAGATAATGTTTCCGTAAGGTCTTCAATTAATTCTTCAATTTCCTCTAGAACATCAGCCAAGCCACCATTACCCTTTGTCTGGTTGTCTGGCCACTTAAATGATGTATTTCACTTTTTTGTCAACAGTCAAGAAACCCTTTAAATTATTAAAAATCATTGATAAATCTTTCTACAGATATCATTAACATACTTATTTCATGCTTTACTGTTCTCATATTACAAAGGCATTAGAAACAACTGAAGGAACAGATTCTTGGCTCCTTCACTGAGGTTTCTCAGGGATGTGTTCATTGAGTAGAATGGCATTCATACATTGTTTTCTCTCTTTCCTTCAAGTTGAATGATCATAATTCTAGTCTAATTGTGTGACCCCATGTAGTTATTCAAACTATCTGAGATAGTTTCCTCATTGGTAAAAAAGTGATAATATCTACACTACAAAGTTAATAATGTAGATAAACTAAAATCAATCAATAAATTAATTATTCTTAATAAATGCTTATTTTACACTCAATAAAGCCTGGCAGATAGAAAGGACACAAATAGTACCTATGAAAAGAATGAAATTCTGGCTACAAGAGTTTGGGTTCTAAAGGAAAAACAGTTTACTCTTGGATTAAATCTGGTAAAACAAGAAGGGACAAGATATTTTTGGCCAAAGTTGGTCAAATATTTGAGAAGACATGTATTAAGTACATGAGAGAGCATGTATTATAGCAGGATAGAAAGAAGCATCCTGCTTACAATACAGGATAGTGGTTTCTAAACACCAGTTTTGGGACTGGCTGTATCAGATTCCTTTACAGAGCTTTATCAAAATATAAATGCCCAGATCTCACTAGAAGCATTAATTCAGCAGATGTGGGGTAGGGCCAAATAATCTGTATTTTAATCACTTCTCATGCGACTTTGATGAGCAACCAGGCTTGAGAGCCACTGTATACACTACATTCATCTATTACTTTGAGGCCCAGGGTATAATTATTTATTCTTTAATACCCTATTTCTGTCTTACTATGAAGTTGGACAAAGAATGCGGGCAGGATACCTTAAGAACATCTCACAGGGCCTCTTGTATACAACCACTTTTCCAAGAATGGGTCCCCAGTAGATATCCAGATTCTATTCAACAAAAGGAAACTTTTCAAAAGCCAACACAAACTAAACTGTGCCTTGAAGAATTTTCAAATACTTTATGTATGACCATCACATTGAATATACCAAGAAAGATGGATGTTTCTTTCATGAGTAAACAGTACAGAGACACCAGACATAGAAGTAAAAAAGAACAAAGAATGTGCTAATTATTGTCCAACAACTCACAAGGAGAGTGATAAAGGTATACTACCATTTATAATAGTAATGGAAGTCAGGTGATGTATAAACAACCTTACTTACTTTGCCATTGTTTCTGCAGACAGGTCTTCAGAATTCTTGACTTTTGTTTCACCTAAAAAGAAGATATTTAAAAAGTAAAATTCCCAAGGATAGGAATTATAAAAGCAAGAGTATTCTCTTTTAAAAATCTCACTTTTGGACAATGAAATGGGAACTTGCCAGTTGTATATGGTGGGTTTAGCAAGGATTTTCTATGTTACAGACAAATCTTTATAGTAGTATACACTATGGAGGATAATTACAATAGCCTAACAGAGGTTTATTCACATTCCTTATACATCGCCAGCATCCGAATTTGGTTACATTAAAGGACATTTTCTTAGCTAAATTATATATGTGTGTTTATAAAATATTTATAACAACTGCAAACTAGGACTTCCATCAAAAATGCCCAAATGGAACAGACCAGGTTATTTTATGACTACACTGAAATTTATAATATTGAACACTATGCAAAGAGCTTAGCAAATGTGGCACTCAGAACTAATTAAGAACTTCACTCACCATGACCTCGCAGATCCAAAGCCACAATCCTACACTGAACCCTACTAATGATCGCTGCCTAGGAGGAAAAGGAAAAATACAACAGGGTTAGCAAATCTTTCTCCGTTACCAATGATAACTTTATTGAATGAACTGCCATCAGAATTCTAGGATCTCAAGACAACCAAAGGAAGACTTTCCACTTTTGAGCAAAATTTTAAAAATGATTCTCTGCTTTTTGGGTACACATTCTAGTCCTATCCCAACTTAAAAATATGGCTTTCTCTACCTAAATCCCTCTTTAAACTTTAACTCTTCCTAGCTTGTCATGAAACACAGAGTAAGTACCTCTGAGCAAAGACCCCCTGTGTTCTGCTATTAACTATGATTTTCATCCATCTTTCTTGGTTATCTTTTTCCTACTCTGGATGGGAAACTCCCTAGATAAGGACCATGAGTCAGTTAATATCTTGGCTCAGGATGTCACACAAATGTAACATTCAGATCATGAAATAACCCTGAAAGCAGTACAAGTCATGAAATCTATCAAAAATTCACTTTAGATGCAGGAGTACACACAAGCTTGTCCAGCAGTTAAATAAAAATATATTTAAAAAAGAAATCACAATATCACGGGAGGTACAATCTTAGAGGTTTAAACAAACCTCAAATAATTGGGAATTTCCTCAAATGAACTAGATTGATGGTAATACAGCACGACTAATGTTAGTAAATGTCATTAATGTTTTTTAACATTTAAGAGACCTGCCTAGCCTAACCCTCGCATTTTATGAATGAAGAAATTGAAGTCAAGAGATAGAAAATTATTTGCTCAGGGTCACATAACAAGTCAGTAGTAAACACAGAATCAAGGTAAGTTACCAATGTAATAGTTACTGTAGAAAACAAGTCAGATTTCTTAAATTGTATCTTCCCTCATTTTATTTTCAAGTGATTAAGTATATCATCTTGAATATATTATCATTATAAAAATGTTGAAACATAGAAAATTAATAAAGAAAGGAAACCCTTGATTTGCCATCCGAATGTAGCCCCTTGTCACCTTTTTGAGTATTTCCTGTGATATTCCTCCCGAACTTTATTGAGATATTACTGACATATAAGTTTAAAGTGTATAATGTAATGATTTGATACATGTATATACTGCAAAATGATTACCACAATAAGGTTAATTAACACCCCCATCCCTGTGTGTGTGTGCATGGTGGTAACATTTAAGATCTACTCTCTTAACAACTTTCAAGTATGTAATACAGTATAATTCATTATAGTTACCATGCTGTCCATTAGATCCCCAGAACTTATCCATCTTCTAGACGGGAGCTTGTATCCTTTGACTAACATTTCCCCATTTCCCACACCTCTCAGCCCTTGAATATCACCATTCTAATCTCTATTTCTATGAATTCAGCTTTTTTTAGATTCTGCATATAAATGAGAACATACAGTATTTTACTTTCTCTGACTTATTTCGCCTAGCATAATGTCCTCAATGTCCTCCATGTTGTAACAAAAGGCAGGATTCCCTTCTTTTATACCTGAATATGTGTGTATCACATTTTCTTTATCCATTCATCCATCGATGGAATGGATGCTCAGGTTGTTTCTATGTCTTGACTACTGTGAATTACACTGCTATGAACATGGGCATACAGATATCTCTTTGAGATAGTGTTTTCATTTCCTTTGTATATATCCATAAGCGGGATGATCGAGTACGGTAGTTCTATTTTTAATTTTTTGAGGAAGCTCTATACTGTTTTCCACAGTGGCTGTACTGATTTACATTCCCACCAACAGTGCACAAGGGTTCCCTTTTATTTCTACAGCCTCACTGACACTCGTCTATTGTCTTTCTGTGATAATAGGCCATTCTAACGTTGTGAGGTGATAGATATCTCATTGTGGTTTTGACTTGCATTTTCCTGATGATTAGTGATGTTAAGTATCTTTTCTTATATCTGTTGGCTATTTGTATGTCTTCTTTGGAAAAATGTCTGTCTATTTAAGTCTTGCACATTCTTAACTTTTTTTTTTTGGCTATTGAGTTGTATGAATTCCTTATCTATTTTGGATATTAACCCCTTATCAGATAGATGATTTGCAAATATTTTCTCCCATTCTATAGGGTGCATTTTCCTGTTTCTTTGTTTTGTCTATGCAGAAGCTTTTTAGTTTGATGTAGTCCCACTTGTTTATTTTTGCTTTAACTACTTGAACTTTTGGTGTTATATCCAAAAAATCATTGCAGAGACCAAATGTCAAGGAGCTTTTCCTGTTTTCTTCCAGTAGTTTTACAGGGTCTTACATTTAAGTTTCTAATACATTTCAAGTTAATTTTTGTGAGTGGATCCAATTTCATTCTTCTACATGTGCTTATTCAGTCTTCTGAACACCATTTATTAAAGAGACTATCACTTCCCCCATTGAATCTTCTTGGCTTCCTTATCAAATATTAGTTGATTGTATATGTGCAGGTTTATTCCTGAGGTCTTGATTCTGTCCCTTGGCCTGTGTGTCTGTTTTTATGCCAGTATCATATGTCATTTTGATTACTATAGTTTTGTAATAAAACTTGAAATTTTATTAAAGGAATTGTGATGCCTTTAGCTTTGTTCTTTTCTCTGAGGATTGCTTTGGGCATCTGAGGTCTTTTGTTGTTCCACACGAATTTTAGGATTGTTTTTTCCTATTTCTGTGAACAATGTCATTGAAATTTTGATAAGGACTGCATCAAATCTATAGATGGTTTAGGGTAGTATGAACATTTTAACAATATTAATTCTTCTGATTCATGAGCATGGGATATCTTTCCATTTATTTGTGTCTTCTTCAATTTTTTTTCAACAATGTCTTATAATTTTCAGTGCACAGATCTTTCACCTCCTTGGTTAAATTTATTTCTAAGTATTTTCTTTTTTTTTATTTTTTGATGTTATTGTAAATAAGATCATTTTCTTTATTTCTTTTTCAGATAGTTCACTGTTACTACATTAAATCACATTTTAAAAATCACCTAGAAAATCAATTCTGTTTCTACTTCTATTACTCTAACTAATGAATAGCTTTAAAAAGAACAATGGACTGAAATTCTACTATATGTTACTATTTGTTCCTGAGAGTTAATTTATAGGAGTTATTTAATACATTATGGTGGTAGTAAAGCCTTCGATGTCAAAAAAATAAACCTGTTTTGGAAATAAAATTAAATGACAAAGATAGTGTCAAATTTGCTTTACTGCTATACATAAAAAAAAAATGTAAAACAAGTCCAGAAGGCAGCAACAAAATATCCATTTAAGGCAGGAACTAGTGATTCCAATTTTAACTTAAAAACAATAATTTACAATCTCATGTGTCTGTCAGAAGACACTGACAATATTAAAACAAATTTTTCATTCACTTATTTAACAAATCTTTCTAAACTACATCTGCTAAAAATCTGGCACCAGTTAGTAATGGGGTTACACTATGAAAAAGACAGGCAATGTTTCTGCTCTCATGATGTTTACATTCTATGTGGCAGAGGAAGACAAGAAAAACAATAAATGAGCAAAGTAAATTCATAGAGCAGCACATTTTAGAGAAAACATAAGTGTCAGAGTATGTCTATGTTAGCCATTCCAGATCTTTCTCAATGAGTATAACTTTGCCACTTCTAGAATGGCTGCATGAAAAGCAGCTATTTAAAAACCAGACTTTCCCATTTTTTTCAATAGAATTCACAGTGTTAGCAATATCAGCAATAACAGCATTAGTACTTAATATTTATTAAATCATACTATGTGTCAGGCACCAATCTAAGTGCTTCAAATAAATTATCTAACTTTCTCCTCACTACTCTCTTATTCAGACATAATTTTCATCCTGTTACAGGTAAGGACATTTTATAGAGAGATTAAGTAACTTGCCCAGGGCCAAACAGCTAATAAGAGTTAATAAATGGTGAAGCCAAGGTTAAAATCCAAGCAGCCTGGCTCCAGATGGTTCTCAACCCTGACTGCATAAAGGAATCACATTAGAAGCTTCGGGAAATACTATCCACCAGAAATTCTGACTTAAGTGATCAGGAGAAGGTCCAGGGTATCTATACATTTTAGAGTTCCCCAGGTGATTCTAATGTACAACCAAAATCCAGCCTAGCCCTAGACTAGAGCATAAGACACAAGAATGGAAGTAAAATCATTTTTTTGTGTCACTTTGTTATCTCACCACATTATCTACATGAGAAGTAGGCTGGGAAAATATTAGCCCAATTTTTGTAGCTGACAAAACAGGTTCTGAGAGGTAAATCAAGTATTGGTAAAGGTGTGAAGAAACAGGTATCCTCATAGACACATGATATCCTCAAATTTTATAATTTTGGCTAATTTGATAAGTAAAAAAGTGGTATTCTTTTATTTTACTTTATATTTTCCTCATTAATAGCAAGATAAATCCATTTTTATAAGTTTATATATCCTCCTCTGTTACTTCTGTACCTTGTACATAGATGCTGTAAACTCATCTAAAACTGAATGCTTGAGTCAAGCACTTTATCAGGAACCATACATCTTTTGTTTATTCTCACAACCACTCTATTAACTAGGTGGTATTATACCCATTTTACAGATTAAGAAACTAAAGCTTGATAGATTAAGCTGTTTTGAAATTCAAACCTCAATATGTTTGAGATGAAGGGTTCTTGAAATTTTTGCTATATTATTTGTATGCTGGTGCCATCTCCATTTTCCTATCTTCCCTATTAGACTTAAAACATCAAATAAACAAGAAGATAGAAAATATGTTTAATTCTCCACTGTATCCATAGCATCTAGCATAATGCCTGGTACAAAGTAGGAGCTGAACAAGTATTTGCTGATTAACTGATCTTGTTAAAGAGTAAATTCTCATTTTCTTACCTTGAGTAACCCAGCACAAAACCTGAAATATAGAATATACTCAGTAAATATTTGCTATCATGAACTGAATTAACCAGAAGAAACAACAGGAATCAGCAGCCATTTCAGATTAAATTCTTGGCTTCCATCAATTCACACTTGTTCTGTCCAGGTCCCT